GGTGCTGGTGGCTCTGGGACAGGGTGCCCTGTGCCACAGGGCTGGGGCCACGCTGGCACCACCAGCCCCACTGAGTCCCTGGAGCATCAGAGGGTCTAATTACAGCAAAGCCCCAGCAGATTAGACAAATGCAGCTTGGAGGCTTAATGAGCCAAGCACAGCCTGGGAATGCCTCCCACTGGGGAGAGAGAAACAAGGGCATGTTGCCCAAACCAGGGAGAAACAGACCTGGAGCCGGACACTGAGCCCACAGAGATCCCCACTCAGCATCCTCAGGGACTCACAATCCTGCTCCTCCTGTAGAGCCAAGGCTGTTTCCTCACCCAGCAATGGGCCCTCACCAAGCCAGCAAAGCCAGGGCTCTCCTTGAGCTGCAGATACAAAGTTAGGCCAGATTATTTCATCCCTATCCCCAAGCACAGCTTTGAACAGCACCCTGCAACCTGCCCTGCACCCTCCTGCACCGCCCCAGGGCTGGCAGACCCCACAGCCCAGGAAAAAGCAAGCAGCCCTTTTGTTTTATCCTGCTGATTAGCCAATGTGCAGCGTTAATCATTGACCCAGCTGCAGGGCAGGGAAACCTGAGCTGCCCAGGCTGATCCCACCTGCTCCCAACTCCAGAGCTGCCACATCCCAGCACCCCAAGATGCTGCACAGGAAGGGGCACACTGGGAGCAGGGGCTGAGCTGGGGGTGTTGGAGGTGTTTAGTGGGAGCAGTGGGGATGCTGGTGCTGGCCAGGATGTCCCTGACAGTGGATACACTGGTACCATCCCAGTGAGGAGAAGGGAACGGGTCCTCGTGGTGGCAGAGGAGTAGGAGGGCCCAGGTAGACAGTTTGGGGCTTCCCACCCCTCAGCCCTGAGCCCGAGGTGAGCTGTTTTCTGCATGGAAACACTTTGCAGAGCTGCTGATCAGTCCATGATGGGCATTGCACAGGGTGAATCCGGGGGTGCCCTGGGGCTGTTTGGTCACTGTGACTTCCCCCCTGGAGCAGCAGCTCAGCTCCATCCCACCCACAGCCCACCTGCATCCCACTGGGGCAGGAATCACGGGTTGAGGGCCTCAGGCTCTGGGCTGGCGTCCAGGGAACCCCAGGAGCCACCACATCACCAGCTAGCCTTTGTTTTGGAAAGCAAGGGCAGGAAGGAAGCGCGTGGTGGAAAGCGCCGCGTGGGGAGGAGGGGACGGCTCGGATGGGTTTCCACTGCGTAACCCTGGGCCAGGCGTGGTGGTGGTGGCTGGGCCAGCCAGGCAGGAACAGCCACCCGGGGCAGAACAATGGCAGCCCAAGGGGAAGGAATTATTTTCCACTGAGTTGGGCTAAACCTCAGTCTGTTCCCACCGCCTCGTTCAGGGCTGGGCCACTAGACCAGGGATTAGCCACCACCCAGCAAAGGACTGGTGGCAGTTGGGGAAAATCTCCTGCTGGGGGTGAGCAAAAAGCTGGGGCTGTTTTCCAAAACCTCTTCCAGCTTGAGCTGGGACACTTGGGGTCTTCCCTGCCTGGCTTCAACCTATCACCATTCCATCTGCTCCCACAGGGAAGACAGAGCCCCAGCCCTGCTGAGTACCCACACCCTCAGTGTGGATTTGCTGTAACTGCTGCAGAGAAAGCAGCCCCCAAAAGCCCTTGAACTCCTGCAGTGGTTCAGCCAAAGGTCATGGTGACACTGAGCATCCTCCCGGCTGGACCTGCTCCAGGGACCCTCCCTGGGACAAGGGGCTGCTCATCCTGCTGCCACATGGAGACAGATCACGTATCCTGGAACGGTCTCTCCTCTTTGCCTCGCCGAGGGTCTCACCAGCCCATGCTCTCTCTCCCCAGCTCATGTCCCTGCCTCGCCCTGCATGGCCCCAGCGAGATGAGCCCCCGTCCTGCAGCACCACCACCGGGCTCCCTCCGGCCTCGTCCGACAGCGACTCCGGCTGTGCCCTGGAAGAGTACCTGGAAGCCGCTGCGGACCCCGCGCCCCCCGAGGTGGGCAGCACCCCCGCTCTCCCCCAGCTCCTTGGGAGGTTCCCACGGCAGAGCCCGGGGATTGAACACATTCTAGCAATGCAGCTTAATCCTCCTAAAGTTCTGCCTGTCTCTCTCTCTCTCCCGTGCCCCGTCCCAAGGCCCCGCCGTGCCTCGGGCCCCGCTCGCCGCAGCCCGGCTCTCCCTCCGACAGGACGCGGCTCCGCGCCAGAGCCCTCCTGCAGCAGCTGCCTCCCCAGGACTGCGATGTAAGACGCCTATTTTTGGGTGCTGCCCCCCCCTGGGCTTCACCTCCTTGCCCCCCTCACCCCCGTGCCCCCGTGCAGGAGCGGTACTGCCCCGAGCTCGCCGAGGAGGAGCGGCGGCAGCTGCGAGCGTTCAGCGCCCGGCGCAGACGGGAGGCCCTGGGCCAGGGGCTGGCATGTCCCGTGCCCGGTCCCTGCCATGGCTGCCCCTGCAGGAAGGTGAGGCGTCCCCACCAGGGCCCGATCCCTGCCTGGAATCTGTCCCCAAAAGCCAGCCTGGCCCCAAACCCCGTGTCCCTTTGCCTTGCAGTGCGGCAGGAGGCTGAACAAAGGCGACCCGGGGATTTCAGTGTCTCGGCTGGGGGACCAGTTCTGGCACCCATCCTGCTTCTCCTGCCACTTCTGCCACCAGCCGTTGGTGGATCTCATCTACTTCCAGCAGGATGGGAGGATCTACTGTGGCCGGCACCACGCTGAGCTCTTCCGACCCCGCTGTGCCTCCTGCGACCAGGTGGGTGCTGGGCAGGGGGAGGCTTTGACCTCCCTTTGGCTGCTCAAAGCCCCTGCTCTTGGCTGGGGGCTGCAAATCCAGCAAGAACCACTGATAGGCAGGAGGAAATATTCCTTCCTGAGCCTCGCTGAGATCCCCCTGCCCGTGCCACGGTTCAGGGGCTCTTCCTCACTCCTCAGCGTGGCAAAGCATCCTCCAGACGAGGGGTTTTCCCGCTGGGTGCTGAGGGGACGGGTTGTTTTCCCGCTCCAGCTGATCTTCATGGAGGAGTGCATCGAGGCCGAGGGCCGGCGCTGGCATCTGGAGCACTTCTGCTGCCTGGAGTGCGACGTTCCCCTGCGCGGGCAGCGCTACGTGATGAGGAGCGGCCGGCCCTGCTGCCGCGCCTGCTTCGAGAGCCTCTTCGCCGAGCCCTGCCAGGCCTGCGGGGACCCCATCGGTACGGCCCGACCCCAGCCCTGCGGGGCAGGCGGGCTGTGGGCTGGGAAGGCAGCGGGGGAAGGTTTTTTTTTGAGGAAGAGCCTCCCCCTCACCTGCGGTTGCCCCCCCAGGTGCTGACAGCGAGGGGGCCACCCACCAAGGGCTGCACTGGCACGCCCGGGCCGCCTGCTTCTGCTGCAGCCTGTGCCGAAAGCCGCTGCGGGGACAGCCCCTCACCTGCCGCCGCGGCCGCCTCTTCTGCTCCGACGCCTGCAGCCTGCGCCAGGGCTCGTCCTCCTCCTCCAGCACCTCCGACTCCTCCGACTCGGCCTTTGCCTCGGCTCCGTCCCCGGACTCGACTCCCCTCTCCCGAGCCGGCCCTGCCGGCAGGACCGCTCCGGGCTCCGGCGGCCCCTCAGCCCCGGGGGGCTGCAGGCAGCGCGTGGAAGGGGCTGGTAGGATCCCACTGCACCTAGGGAGGGGACTGGGAGCAATTCCAGGCTCTGCTCAGCCCCTGGGTGCTCCATGAGGAATGTCACACGGGGCCAGCCCAGTTTGGGGCTGGAGCAGGGGTGATGAGCCCCCAGCCCACCTCCTGTGGGAGGGCGAGTGGTGAGAGCAGGGGGTGGGCTGCTACCACCCCCCGTGATGTCCCAAGGCAACCCTCACTGCACGAGGGGCTGTGGGAGGGCAGGCTCAGCCTTCTCCTTCCTCATTTACCCTTGCTTTCCTTCTTCCAGAGGCGTTTTTGGATCAGGCCCCTGTTCATCCTGCCTTCAGGAGCGCAGAGGACCACGGAGCAGCCGCCACGGAGCGGAGCAGCGATGCTGTGCACACAGGGACGCTGGGACCACCAGGCACCCACCCCTCCTCCCCTCAGCCCAGCCCAGAGGGGCCCAACGAGCCTGGAGCCTTGGGCCACCCGGTTTTGGGGGGCCCTGACCCCCGAACACCTGCGGGCCATGGAAACCCACCCTCCCGAGCGGGCACATCCCCACCCCGACACAGCCCCCGGCCGGAGCACATCAACCTGCAGGACGGCACGGAGGAGGAGGAGGACTCCTGGTGTCCCACCTGCTCCTCATCTTCGGACTCAGACTCGGAAGAAGAGGGTTTCTTTTTTGGGAAGCCCATCCCCAAGCCCGGGATGAACTCCCTGGCCAGGGAGCCCCTGGGGAAGGCCGGGGGCAGGACGGCCAAGCCCCGGGGCAGCAGCAAGCACTGCAGTGTGTCCTAGCAGTGGGGACAGGGGGGCCCTGATGTCCTGCCAGCCCCTGCCGGGTCCTGCCACGGTCTCAACATGTTCCCCGTGTGGTTTGGACGAGGCCCAAGGCTGGTGGGAGAAGCTGCTGGGATCCTTCCCTGCCGGCAGCTGCTGGCAAAGCACAGCCTGCAATTCCTGCTGGCCTCTCCCGCAATTAGGAACAGGTAAAGCAGGAAGGGAGCAGAGCTCACCAGGGCTGCAGCGCCTCAGACACTGCTGGGGAGAGCGGCCTGTGCTCCAGACAAGGGCAGCTGCCTGCACCAGACCCCTGGGACCCCTCCTTGCAGGATGAGCACCACTGCCATGTGCTCTCCATCTCTGGTGCCACCAAAGAGAGGGGCCAGGGGGGCAGCTCTGCTGCTGCCACTGACGAAGCTCCAATAAAGTTTGGCTGAAATCTGAGTGCAGGAGGGTCACGTTCCTCCCCACCCACTGGGACACCGACCGTGCCACCAGAGCAGTGTGATCCTCAGGGGTGACCTTTGGCCTCTGCCACATCCCCCTTGCTGGGCTCACTGTAGGACCCCTCCCTCACCAACCCCAGGAGAGCGGGATCAGAACAGCAGAGTGAGGGCAGCAACAAAAATAGGGTTTAATTTTAGATTTAAACCCAAAAACAACTCCTGGGGTTTGTGGGCACATCCCTGAGAACCAGGAACGGAGTGAGGAGCGTGGATGGAGGAGAGGAGCTGCTGCTCTCCCTCCCTCCCACCACCATCCAGTAACACCAGCTCCTCTTCTGGCTGCACACAGAGGTTTGGGCAGGGCTAAAACTAAGCATCCCCCCACCTTCCTCCTCCTCCAGGAGATATGGTGGGACTGCCACCGTGTCCGTGCCACCCTGACCCGCAGGCTCAGCAGCACCTGAGCACAGCAGTGCCCTGGCATGGCCCCCCATCGCTCCCAGCCTGGCTGGAGGAGGGGGTGACTCCTCAGGGGCCGGGGGTGGCCGAGTCGTAGCTGTCGATGAAATCCTCCAGCTCCCGGAGGTGGTGGATCCAGCCCTGGCGCAGGTTGGCCCTGAGTGCCAGCCCCAGGGCCGCCTCCATGGAGGGCTCCTTCTGCAGCAGCATCGTGGCCACCACGGCGATGTTCAGGCTGAACTGCTGGTACGACTGCAGGGCCGGCCACGGGGTCAGCACCCCAAAAACCAGCAGCACACAGCTCCCCTTAGGGGTATTCCTCACCCCCCGCCCATCTTTTGGTCCACAACCCTCCTGGCAGCATCTGAGCCCCTGCAAACCCCCTTCGAGCAGCTTCCCCTGCAACCACCACCACCAGGAGGGGTTTCTCAGTGCCCCCCAAAATGCCAAGTTCACATCCCATCACCCAGCATCGCTTCAGAAGGTCCTGGGCTGAATCCCCCTGACCCAGCAGCAGGTCCCAGACCCCCACACCCCTCAGCCAGGGGCCTCCAGGACTCACCAGCTCGATTTCCTCCTTCCTGGCGAGGACGGCGGCGGAGCGGAGATCCATGCGGGATGGGGAGGGTGTTGGGAGCCCGAGGCAGAGCTGCTGCTGTCCATCCCCAGCCTGGGGGGTGGGAAAGGAAAGGAAAGGAAAGATTGGACTCTTGGGCAGGGAGAGGGACTGGTCACCCTCTGAGGGACCTGCTGGGACCTTGGCTCCCCAGGGTGCTGGTTCTCCCCCTTTCCCTTGGGTGCCAGAGCTGCCCCCACTCCCCCTCTGCCCCAGTACAGGCAGCAAGAGCCTCCAGCAGATTTCTGTCCCCCATTAGGCAGTAATTAAGCTGCTCTGGAGTGCTCTCCTTGGCTTTGTTTAAGCTCCAGTCCCGGGTCGTTCACACTCCACACACTCCCAAGCCTTCAGCTATTTTGTTGGCCTT